TTTTTTAAATTTCCTGGAAAAGCTTGTGGAGAACTGGCAACAGGTCTCCTTTAAATGTTTGGAAGAATAGTGTCCTTGAGTGTCAGTCTCATATTATGTATAACAGCTTTTTAAACCTCCATTTCAGTTGGGGGAGAAGGCAGCCAGAATAGAGAAGGGATCACTAAGTAAATGGTTGGAGGGATTGTTTAGAATAGGAGATGTGTGCTAAAAGTAGATGAAAGACCAAACATGATGGTCTCTCAGTATCCATACTGCAAACCATAATGCACCAAAGTAGAGAGAGTATGGGGGAAATTTTTTCTCAAAGAGGCAGAGGAAGGGTTGTGATATGGGAAGGGGATACTGGGGTCATTGGTGGTGGAAAATGTGCACTGATGGAGGGATGGGTGTTTGATCATTGTGTGACTGAAACTCAAACATGAAAGCTTTGTAACTGTATCATATGGTGATTCAATAAAAAATAAAAAAAGAAAAATAAATAAATGTTTGGAAGAATTCACTAGTGAATCAATCTGGGCCTGGGCTTTTGTTTTGGGGAAGACTTTTCATTACAGTTTCAATTTCCTTGATATGAATGGGTCTATCCCAAGTCTTCTTGGTTAAATCTTGGGAGAGTGCAGGAATCCAGGAATTTATCCATTTCTTCTAGGTTCTCCTGTTTCATGGCATACAGACTCAAAGTAGTCTCATGATCTTTTGAATTTCATTGGTTTTCGTTGTGATGTCCCCTTTTTCATTGCTGATTCGGTTTATTAGGGTTCTCTCTCTTCCTTTGTGAGTCTTGCTAGGAATTTATCAATCTTCTTTATTTTCTCAAAGAACCAGCTCTTGGCTTCATTGACCTTTCGGATTATTTTTGGGTTTCCATGTTGTTAATTTGTCCTCTAAGTTTTATTATTTCTTTCTGTTGGCCAAATTTGGGTTCCTTTTGTTGGTCTTTTTCTCAGATCTTGAGCTGTAAGGTCAGGTTATCTATGTAAGCCCTTTCTTCCTTCCTTAGGAATGCTTGCAAAGCTATAAATTTTCCTCTTAACATGCATTTAGCTGCATCCCATAGGTTCTTTTAGTTCTTGTCTTCATTCTCATTTGTTTCCAGATATCTTTTGATTTTGTCCTTGACTTCCTTCCTGACTACTTGTTGTTCAACATTGAGTTGTTTAATTTCCAGGTATTTTATTTATTTCTCGGTGTCTCTGTGTGATTTTTTCTATCATCAGTGCATAGTGACCTCAAAAGATTGTTGATACTACTTCTATCTTCCTGATTCTATTGAGGTATGTTTTGTGGCCTAGCACATGGTCTGTTTTGGAAAATGTTCCATGTGCACTGAAAAAGATTGTATATTCTTTCTTTTTGGGGTGTAAAGCCCTGTATAGGTCCTTTAGTGCTCTAACTTCTATTTCTTCCTTCAAAGCCAATGTGACCAGAATACAAAGACAATCTATACAATGGGAAATAATATTTACCCAATACCTATCTGGTAAGGGGTTGATATCAAGGATATACAAAGCACTGGTTGAACTCCCCAAGAAGAAAACATCCAACTCCATCCAAAAATGGGGTAATGAAATGAACAGAAACTTTCTCAAAGAAGAAATCCGAATGGCTAAAAGGCACATGAGAAAATACTCTACATCACTAATCATCAGGGAAATGCAGATCAAAACAATGAGATATCATCTCACACCAAAGAGACTGGCCCACATCCAAAAGAACAAAATCAACAGGTGTTGAGGTAGATGGGGCGGGAAAGGGACTCTTCTTAACTGCTGGTGGGAATGCCAACTGGTTCAGCCCTTTTGGAAAACAATATGTACGATTCTCAAAAAATTAGAAATGGAGCTCCCATTTGATCCAGCAATACCACTCCTGGGAATATATCCCGGAGAGGCAAAAATCTATAGTCGAAATGACATCTGCACTTCTATGTTCATTGCTGCATGTTCACAATAGCCAAAATCTGGAAAAAACCCCGAGCGCCCGAGAACAGATAACTGGTTAAAGAATCTTTGGTATATCTACAAAATGGAGTACTATGTAGATGTTAGAAAAGGTGAAATCAGGGCCTGGAGTGATAGTACAGCGGGTAAGGTGTTTGCCTTGCATGCGGCCAACCCAGGTTCGATTTCCAGCATCCCACTGGTCCCCTGAGCACTGCTAGGAGTGATTCCTGAGTGCATGATCAAGGAGTAACCCCTGCGCATCGCCAGGTGTGATCCCCCACCACCCAAAAATTGTAATCATGAAATTTACATACAAGTGGTACTATATGGAAAGTATGCTAAGTGAAATGAGTCAGAAAGAGAGGAAAAGGCACAGAAAGACTGCATTCATCTGCAGAATATATAAAGTAAGAAAATAGGAGACTAACATCCAAGAATAGTCAAAATAAGTACCAGGAGGTTCACTCCATGACTTGAAGGCCTGCCGCACATGCTAGGGGAAAAGGCAGCTGAGACAGAGAAGGGAGCACCAAGTAAAGGGTGTTGGGAGGATCTTCACAGGATGGGAGATGCATGCTGAAAGTAGACGATAGACTGAACATGATTGCCACTCAATACCTTTTTTGCAAACCACAGCACCCAAAAGGAGAGAGATAAAAGGGAATATCCTGCCACAGAGGCGGAGTGGGATGGGGGGGATGGGGAGCTTGGGAGGTGGGAGGGATACTGGGAGCATTGGTGGTGGAGAATGGGCACTGGTGGAGGGATGGGTACTCCATAGTACTCCATTTTGTAGATATGCCAAAGTTATACTTTATCATTGTATAACTGAAACCCAAGCACAAAAATTTGTAAGTCTACAACTGTACCTCATTTTGTTTCACTAATAAAAATTTTTAAAAAATTAAAAATATATACATATACAAAACACATATATACAATATATACATATACAAACATATATACATATAGGTGTATATACATACCCACTTATATGCATGTATACGTATATCGACATACAAAGATGTATACATCTATATATGTATTACTAATGTTCCTTTTCATTTTCTTGGCTACCCAGCAGTGCTTAGGATTTACTCCTGGTACTGATTTTATGGACCAAAACTGTCAGGGTTTGGGGAACCATATGGGGTGCTGGGGATAGAGCCACGTGAGCTGTGAACAAAGCAAGTGCCCTAAATGCTGTACAATCTCTCTGGTTCCTTTATAGAACAATTTGCATCTACTATTTTGTTACTTACCAAGTTTAATGCTCATCAAAGAAACACATTTTCATTTCGTTTTCATCACATTCATTCAAATGTTTTTAAATTTTAGAAATCTTACTTTAGGAAAGTAGCCTTTCTTGAGCTATTGGATCCACAGTTAAAGACTACTTTAAATATTTAGAAAACTTAGAATAGAAGTAATAAAAAATAATTTCACTATGTTCTTCTGCTCTACCTCAGACTTTCTATGAGAAAACATTTTTGATTATTTGTCCCTTTTTATATCCCAATAAATCACATATGCAAATATGGATGTTATTTAAAAAAATACTGTTACATTTTAGAGTAGCAGAGAGCAAATAAAGTAACTCCATTATCATTAGAACAGTGGGAAGCAGAAATGAAAATTAAAGTTAAAAGCTTCTTTCTGGTCCCAAAAAGTCAAACTAGTGATTTCCAACTCTCACTCTCCTCCATCCGCTAGTGCATAGTGTCTACGGCATACAAGTCAAGGAAACTTACATCTCAAGGAAGAGTCAAAGGAAATTTCACCCAATCATAGGACTCTTTGGCAACTAAAGTGCTGCAATTCCCATTTAACAAAGCATGATACAATTTAAGGTGCTAGAGAGTAATATCTTAAAATTTAAGTTCGATTATTCACTTTTAAAGTATCCTTCATTAAAAGCTGACAAGTCTCCATTTTTAGAAAAAAAATTTAAAAATTACAAAAATATCTGACAATACAAATGACCAGTGGTTCACGCAAAAATAAAATATACTCCACTCCATCATTTCAACTGAATTTCTCCCAAAATATGTATTCATTCATTTCTGTCTCTTAATATAAATGCGGTTGGAGCTATAGCACAGTGGTAGGGCGTTTGCCTTGCACGCAGCCAACATGGCCGACCTGAGTTCGATTCCTCTGCCCCTCTTGGAGAGCCTGGCAAGCTACCGAGAGTATCTCGCCCACACGGCAGAGTCTGGCAAGCTCCCCGTGACATATTCGATAAGCCAAACACAGTAACAACAAAGTCTCCAATGGAGACGTTACTGGGCCCACTCGAGCAAATCAATGATCAACGGGAGGGCCTTTACCTATAAATTGGCATTTTCAGACAAGTTCAGTCCCCCAAACAACCAAGTTATGTATAACCTAAAACTCAATTCTTTAGTCAGAAAAAAAAATAACATTAAATCATACTATAACGAGGTCTTAACATTTCTATAATCATTTATAACCTGATCTAAGGTCACAGCAGGCACTAAAAGGGGGGCATTTAAAATTTGAAAATCACGAAACAATGAATGAATTTTATCTCTATAGGGACAAGGAAAGCAGGCTGCACAAGCAAAGTGGACAGAGTCATTAAGCAATTATATAATAATTCGAAATTATTTAAACAGAAAAATAAAAATCCAAGCACAAGGGGTAAGCTGACTAACGGTTGCACTGGTTCTCAAATGTAATAGTCTCTGAGTGCTGTGTCTGACTTTCAATCAGGGAACACCACTGCAGTGGTGGCCTGGTAGGTAAAAGGTGAGGCGGCAAAGACTTATAAGATTTAAAGTGCAAAGCAACATAGTTTTGAACCCAGAACCTAATGATGTATTTAAACAAACTAAAACCATGTTCCACTAATGTTAACTCTTAAAATGTGTCTTTACACCATTCTCTTTTTTAAAATGCTATACTCGGACATAAAAAAAAACAAAGTAACACTGCCAGATTGGCAATATATTCAAATACAAGGATTATTTGAACCTTTATGTATGACTTGGAAACCCAGAATAGTGAAATGGTTTATATGAAAACACAAACCTTTACTAGCTTTGTCTAAGTTTTCCAAATCATCCACAAAATTCAAGATATCAGGATACTTTTCTTCACATACTTCCACCAGAAAATGAAGTAGTGTTGTTTTCTGGTCTGCTGACTTTGTATCTTTTAGCTAAACAGAATGAGAAGGGGAGAAGAAAAAAAAAGAGTAAAAATTATTTTGATAGTTGTCCAAATGATGTAAAACTGTATTTTATAAATAAGAAATAAATAAGTTCACTATAGTTTTGAAAAGTAAGTATTAAACACTTGAAAAGTTGCTTTCTAAGTATCACTTGGACAAAGTCTAGTTACAAAGCTTTAGACAAGTAACTGGGTCTATTTTCAGAGTTTATTTAAGGTATGAAACTGAACTAAACTTAATTTTTTATTTCAAAAGTATGAAGAATAAACTACAGTGTTACTAGAGTACACATAGTACATAAAAAACAATGACAAATATTTCCAAAAATATTTTTTAACTTGCAGTAATTTCATGAAGAAAACCAGTTGTAATCTCAGATCAAAGATGATTTTTTCTCTCAGCTGGGTAAGAATTCTTTCTGTTTCAGTTCCTAAGTGAAAGTTAATGTGATATGGAAAACTTATCTTTCAAGGCTATAGATTGTTTTCATTCTATAATCTGTAAAAGTTGCCAACTTTCACAGTTTTCTCTAATATAAACAACCATTAGCATAAAAGTTGTTTTTGATGTTATTGTTCTTTTTCTAAAACTTTGTAAAACTTTTTCCTCCCACATCTAAAACATATCTCAGAAATATGCCCATGCTGTGAACTCAGTTTTCCACTGCCACTAGTGTATATAAACTTCCATATCATGCTTCTTTCATTGCAACTTAGATACACTGCCCAAGTGGAATGTTGATAAAAACAAACAACATGTATTATTACACTGTGGAAAGCCTGAAAAGAATTTTCTAGAAGCATTTGTGACATAGTTAAACAGCCAGCAACTGCTAGGATTAATATATCAAGAAATTTCTATGATTCAACAACGGCCAACTGGATCAATCTTAATCTTTATTCATGAGCAGTAAGAGTTCAGAATTAGAATTCTTGAACATAATGTAGTCTTTATAGCACCTACCAGTTTAAAAAATATTAAGTATGCAGGTCAAACAAACATTCTAGTTATTGAGCGATAATCATAAAACTAAGCACTAATTATGGGGAAGGGTATTATCCTGACTATATTATTGAAAACATCAACTGATTAGCAAGTAGCATATTGGTAACAATCCAATATTAAAACATATGTGTACTGAATAGGAAATGAGCGCCCAAGTCTTTCTTCCTCATAAAGACTTCATTTCACAATTTCTAAATGCAACAACTTATCATCGAATTTCTAAATAAATATAAAATTAACCCTGATAAAATGTAAGTTCCGAAAGGAAATATAGATGGCCATCATTTGTGGATCATGTGCAATGTTGCACTTATAAACAGCACAAAGCTCTAAATTCTAGCATGAAACTTCTTCACTCGAGTCTAATAATGTGAGGAAAACTGCAGGATGATGCCATGGACTCTTTCCTGCCTCAATTACTCTACTCTCTCCTCCATCCAGTTACTTAAAAACATACTTCTCAAAGCATTAAAAGGCAACAAAAATGTGTTTATATCCCTTATCTTTTTGATGAGCATTAAAAACTAAAAAGGGCATTTTATTTTTACTGATGACCCATATCATGCATAATCAGCAATTGAACTAATAAAAGTAGAATCTGGGAGATACTGCTCATTTTCTTGGAGAGAGAATTTGGGCTCACTTTGTAAGCAAACTATTGAGAAGAAAACAAAGTTAAAATGTTTGCTTTAAAAATTCTTTTTGGTTCTTAAAATATGCTGTATTTAAATTTTAACAGACAGTGCTTGACAGGATTCCTTTTGTATCACTGTCAAGAGATTTATCTTACTGAAGAGTAATCATCACTGTTAAGTAGAATTTCTTATTTATATATTGTTTCTTTAAGGTACATTTAATGTGGCATAGATGTCAAATAAACAAAAAAGATGGATGGAGTTTCTCCAACTGCTCTGTTCATTCCAGACAAAATAATGTTAAAAGCAGATCCTGTAATAAATCATGGCTTAGTTGTCAGTCTTGTGTAGAAATCCTTTGTAGCTACAACACAAGGTTTTGGAATATTTTTAAGGTATTCAGCACAAATTTGGATGACATCTAAAGAATATTCATTGTTTTGATCACTAAGTGGAGGGGGGGCAGGTAGAGAATCCTAAAAATATCTTCTTGTAATTCTGAAAATCCAAAGAATAATACTCTCTTACTCTGAATAATGAAAGTGAGTTGAAAACTGTCAAATGAGAAATTCTGTTTCCCATTCTTGGTTCATATAATCTTGTATGTTTCAAATCAGTAGTGATTCCTTACTCTTAAACGTTTGCAAAGCAACAAAATTATTAGAACGCTGAATTGATCCTGTGAATGTTCTAGAGGGCTGTAACTTCTACAAAGTTCTAATGCTGAGTTCAACAGGCATAGTTCTTTATTATGTAGTACTTACAGTAAGGCAGATTCTAGCCAGATAATACACAGTTATGGCCCAAAACACTTAGCATTCCTATTAGAAAGGAATTAGCATTAAACACAATGCTATTAAAAAAATGACTGGAGAGAAGTAATGCATCTCACATAATGCAAGCTACTGTTTGACAATAATTTAGTGCAGAATCTGTGTGAAGATTAAACTACACTTAACTATTATAAATTTCAGCTCTGTCACAAAAATCTGCAATCTTATTATCATTCATGGAAAACAGTAAAATTCTTAAAAACACAGAGGACAAAGATGGTAGTAAGGCAACAGAAAAGAATCAAATTTAAGTTATAAAGCCTTATAAATATAATTCTAGTCTGAAAGGTCTCTGAAAAACACACCCACCATCATGAAACCATACCTAGTCTTAAGAACTTAATATTCTTTATATATCTATTTACACACACACACACACACACACACACACACACACAATGAAATACCACTAGAATCCTATTACTCAGGTGGTAAATCTTTCCATATTGCTAATAGATTAGTGCTGACAAATGGCTGTGTGAAAAGATCTCTATCAAGTTTAACCTTTTCCAGACTGGAGTATAAATCAATGCAACATATTCCACCGCAAAATATAGTGATTAATTTTGATATTTATTTAATATCAGGAATCTTCTACAAAAACAATGGAAAGACAAGTCTTAAGACTATCATGGACTTCAATAGTTACAAAAGGCTGGTTTGCTCCATTATTCAGTTATACAACTTGTCTGAATTATATTTAATTTTTAAAATTCTTCAAATTCAAAATTTTGAAAATTCAAAATTTGAATTTTAGCACAGAAATTTCTACATATAAAGTTTATGTACTTAGTAAATCTTTTTAATTTATTACAGTACACTTTTCAATTATCTGTTTATTAATATTCTATCATCAAGAGTTTTAAAATAGCTCATGTCCTTCAATATAAAATAGTCAATTATATTCATTTAAATCAAATAAACTTTACCCTTTAATCTATTAACAGACTATTTTAGAGCAAATTCAGCCTCATAGGAACTGAAAAAAAAAATAGATCTTCCTGGAGTTCTCACACAACAGTTGTGTGCTCACACTTGGTTTTTGGAGACCAGAAACTGAACTCTTTGTTGTGGCGTAGGAATCACAAAATGTAACGACCCATGGAATCAGTTGGAAGAAATATGGGCAATAACAGGAATCTAAGCTCCAGGCCATCACAACAGGCTTGATACCAAGACCAACGTTTTCCTGCTTGTATTGGTTATACACATTTTGGATAAAAACAATTAACAGGTGTATTATGCCAAGATTTCCTCCCAGCATAGTTTGTCTTCTGATTTTCTTACCGATGTCTTTTGCAAAGCAAAATCTTTGAATTTCAATGAAATTGTTCTTGCCTTTCAATTGTCACTTTATGCATCAGGCTTTCGATGTACTTAAAAAATCATAAAACAAAGTAATCTAGATTTTTCTCCTTTATTATGTTCTATAAACTGTATACATTTTGCCATTTTTACACTTAGGTATCTGTGTCTAGATACACATAATATTTTTGCAACTCTAGTTCTTGAACACATTATTCTTTTTCCACTAAATCATCATTCTTACTGTCAAATATACATTTGACATTTGTATCCATTTCTGGACTTTCTATTTTCTTCTATTTTTTGGGGGGGTGGGCAACACTAATTTTTGTAGTGGTAGCTTTATAATAAATCTAGAAGTCAGTTTTTCAACTTTCAGTTTGTTTTGGTTATGTGATTCCGCAGTCATATAAATCCTTTTAAAGTCCTTTATCATTCTCAACAAATTGCTAATATTCTGGTGGTTTTGTGTGTTTGTTTGGAGGCCAAATCCAGTGGTGCTTGGGAATTTAGTCATGACTCTGTGCTGAAAGATTGTTCCTTCAGCAGGGTGGACCAGGTATTGGACCCAGTTTGGCTACAAGCAAGGCGAGCGCCTTCCTTACCTGTTAACTATCAACTCCAGTCTGTATTGCAGATATTCTTATTGAAATTTCATTGAATCCACAAATAAAACCTTGGGAAGCATATCTTGCTAACACTAAATACTGTTCTCATGAGCATGATATATCAATTTATTTGATATCTTAAATTTTCTTTCAAAAATTTTGTCTTCCCTTAGAACCTTTCACACAATTAGATTAATAATAACTGTTGATGCAAGCATAAATATTTTAAACTACAAATTCTAAATGTTTATCATTGATATCAGGAAAGTAAAGAAATTTTTCATGTAAGTCTCATATCCATAAACTTTGCTTTTTAGTTCTAGAAAGGATTTCTTCTTTTTGATTTTTTTTGAAGGGTAGATTTATATGTAGTTGATCATTTCAACCATGAGAAGAGAATTTACTAGTTCCTTCCCACTTTCATTTCCTTTTCTTGTCTTATTGCATTAGCTAAGAGTATTCCTAGGGCAATCAGCATAGTAAGAAGGGACCCTCTGTCTTGTTTCTAATCATAGGAAAATGTGTCAGTTCCTTATCAGTAAACATGATGCAATCTATAACTTTACAGCTGTAGCATGTCATTATGATGGATTTTCAAAGGT